AGAGTTATAGCACGCTTTGTGCTGTGGCATTGGAGAGAGCTATTTAAAGGTTCGAATTCAATCCCCAACACTCCGAAAGTACCCTTATTTCAAATACTTACAACTTCTTAGAGTGAAGCTTCTATAGGGGAGAAAGCAGGGCTGTATGGCACTAGGTTGGCACTTGTTAACCGAGTTTGAGCGGTTTTTAACAATCTCCTTTAGAGGGACTCTCCCCTTGTGACTGCCTCATTACATTTGAGGGTCACCTACGAGCTCTTACGCTTTGAACAGCTACAACAATCTTCCACAAGGTCATTTGAAAAAATGAAAAAAGTGCCGAAATTTCGAAGATTCCTACTTTCTAGCAAGACTTTCATTTATCCTTAGGCCTGCTATTCGAAAAAATGCCCCGTTGTGATGTTGTCGCGACCCCTTTCAGACGACACGGGAAACTAAACCCACCCACTTCCACTTCGTTTGAAGACTTTGGCGTGCTTCTAGAACATATATTCTCGCCAAGGGTATCATGGAAATAGCTCATTTGGCGCCGACTGGCACCTCTGTGATGCGCCATGCATGGGGCTGCCACGTAGAGGCGTAACTTCTATAAGGGCTCCCTTCGTGCAAGTAGATGTGCTCCTGCGATCAGAAAGGTCCGGAAGTGTACTTTTCATCTGTTTATTAATTCATGACGTCGTTGTGGGCGGCCATCGCATTTCCTGTCATAGCCCGTTCCCCATTTCTGCACTGGCAGGTTCTTCTGTCTTCAGGTGTCTCTTCAGGTGTTCTTCATATGAACAATTCTTCCATCAAGCTGAACGACATCCGAGTATCACTAAGTCCCCACTTCGGAAAGGGCTATGCCCTCACGACTCCCCCTTTCCTCGCAGTCAAATACGACCCCCTTTGTGGATATCACACTGGCATGCCCAGCACGTTCACTGGGAATTTCACTATCAACGCAAGTGGTGCACATTGAGGATAGCACAGGCGGAGCGTGGAGAAGTCAATAGCCTCCAGTCCCGTTCACAAGCACTTTCAAGCGGAGAATGGCACGCTACGCTACTGCTGTTGCACACCCATTCACCTGTCGACGAGCCTAAATCACCTCACACGTAGGAGGTTCATTCCCCATCCATAAACGAGCAAGTCTACTGCCGACTGGGGTGTGCCATCATAACCCTGTAAAAATGTGTGGAAAGCGGCCAGGAGTTAGTGCCGTAGAGTTCCTACTCCTGATTCGAGGAGCCTGCTTACTTGAAAGCCGCAATTCGCTTCGATCAGATAGGAACAAAGGGAATATGATAAAGATCCCGATGGCGAGAGTGACGTGGAAGCGAAAAAAAGCTGGGGTTCATTCGCAATTCATTCATCCTAAATTCACCCCCTACTCGGCTAAGGCGTCTTCAACATTGCCTCCCATTTCTTCACGGCTGCGCTGCCTAGCGCATCCTATACCATAGGCTTAACGCCTGTATCCTCGTTTTGCCTTTGCACACTGTGCCAGAACTCGACAGATTCACATTGTTGAGCAGCGTTCAGACTCACCGCGCTGTAGAGCGCAACATGTGTTGCTGCGCTTCAGCGCCTGTTGAAGCGCTTTGATGCGCTACAGTTACAAGCGCGCGGTACTATTGACTATTCTTAGAACAATAACACAGGGAATTTTTTTTGCTGAAACAGTGGACTACAGTGGAAACCAGAGCCCTGATCACGAAGTGACATTACTTTCTGAGTACCATTGAGCGCAAGTTTGTCGCCACCATCTTTCTCACCAAATTGATGAAACGGTATATACGAGGTTCAGTTGACATCCTGATCACGGATATGGCTTTATTTTTTGACGTTTGCGCCATTAGGCTTTTTACCCAATTCGATAAAAACTCGCGTAATAGGGTTTTGGTTGAGCGAAGCGGATGGTGACATTATGTCAGAAGGTCGAACTTTCCCTAGAAAGAAGTTCAGCGAACTTGGTGATTTAAGGTATTTTGGCGCGGCCCCTAAGGCGCGGGCGCCAATCAGTTTTCGGCTAAGCGGATGTGATAACCTTGTTCACCTTGGGGTTCAATAGTGCCGAGCGCGCTTGTAATGGTAGCGCATTAACGCTCGCTGCGCTGTACTGCGCGTTGATTCTGATAGCTGATTTACTTCTCCTTCTACTTCGAACTTCTTGAAGGGAGGACTATGCTTCTGCTTGGCTTCCGTCTAAGGGCACGCGGGAAACGAAAGCTGAGCTATCTCATCGCTTTCGACCCCTCCCCTCCCCCCCCCCCCTTCAGCAACTTTCATTTAGTCGATTTTTCAACATACTTCATCATCATTTTCAATGATTTTTCTTTACTACAAACCCTCTCAACAGTATCGATGGCAGCCCAATAGATGCAAATAATGCAGCGAAAGAGCCGTTGTAAATGGTGGCACGTTCGCGACATTTGCCCCAGCATCTGACACGGCAATTCAGCTAGCTAGGAACTCTTCTACGTGAAAGAGCGGAAACGCGGGAAGCGATTCTGGATTCAAGCTTCTGAGTCTTTCACGCGGGGTATCCACATTCGCAGTGTATGGCCCGTCAAAATGTAAGCTTGAGCTAAACTCTGCGAATGTGGAAACCCTGCTAGAAAGACGAAGCCTGAATCGCTAATCGATTCTCACACTTTACGCTCTTCCTGGTTTTACCTTTACCTTTTACCTTCTATAGAGTTCGGCGAAAGATTCTTCTGAATCACCTAACTCTCCAGGATCGCGGAATTCACATATGCAAAGCATGAACATGATTAACCCTATTCAAGAAAGGAGGATGCTCGCAAGAACCTTTGCTATTTGACACGAACCTTCGAGTTATCGAGTAATGCCGCCTGCTTGCCGCCATGAAATACCGCAGGCGGCAGACGTCTGAACGCCTTTACAGTTATTGGCGAACTTGACACTTTTACTCCAAACCTAAATATCCACATATTGAAGAATTATCGAGTTAGTTCTAATCACTGACACCTCTCATCTAGCAAACTCACGCTTTTAAAAATTTGTTCTGCGAACCACTTTCGTTAAGATTGAGAGAATCAAGTAGGCTTGTAATGGTTGAGAGACGAACATCTGGCTTGTCAGCTCTATTGGCCTGAATACTTGTGGTTCTTGAGAATCATTACTCACTAATACTTTGACTACATAATCTTCCACGAAACAGATACTGTCAAATCTATCTAAAAGAGAACTCAGTGATCTAGGTGCGAGTTCGCTAATAGAAGGGGACATTCTATAACTCTGACGTACCGGCTAACAGAGCATGTCCTACGTTGGACAATCCCCAGCGGGGAGCGGTCGTACTTGGTTCCTTGATGGAGGGGGTCGTAACTGGTCTGAGAATTTTTTTAGTTGATTTTTGGGTTTTTTTGGGTGGGGTCAAATTAGCTCGTCTTTGGAAAGGGAGGAGGGTTCGCTCCTGCCTTTTCTGCCTTCGAGAGAAAACTGTCGCGTTGCTGTGCTGTCTTTCCCGTTTTGTTGGTGCTATAGACCCCTCCCCCTTACGTGCCCCGCTAGACAAGATGGAAAAACCTGGAAACCAGGAAGATTTTCAGAATTCTTGGAAATAGTGGTAGGAAGCAGCTTAGAAAAGTTGGCAAGATAGAAGGTAGGATGCGGAAGGGGGTCGTACAGACGACTGGACCTGGGGAGGGGTCGTAATTCTAAAAATTTCCCCCAGCGGCAGGACGTGCTCTGCCGGCTAAGTCTGCAAAGACTAGAGACTCCTGAGAAGCTAAGAAACGTCACAGGCGTCATTTCTACGGTTTTGCAGCCCAGCGTGTTAGCAGGTGCCAGGAAACAATGGCGACTCAACCTATAAAGATTTTTCCCGGAGATGCTTAACAAGGTGCGAGGGATGGGGAACAGGGAGAGGGTGTCCTGGCATGTGTGAAACTATTTCTTTGCGCAAGCAATTCCCTTTTAATTGCAACAACTCCCTGCTCATTTCGTCGCAAATGGATCGCATATTTC